CCAGCTGCCCTGCCTATAGATTAGTTAATATAATGTGAGAAACACTGTTTTATAGCAACTCTAGAGATTTTGCAAGAAAGCATATACCAGATGAACCAAACAAACCAAAAAGATAATTGAAGGAAAAAAAAAAATGAAGAAGAAAAGCAGAGAGAGAAGAGCTGACCTGTTGGGTATTAGGATCAATGTCAAACACTTTGGTAGGACTACTCTCAAACAAACTTGTTTTCTCTTCAAGCGTCAATGTTTCCATCATATCTTCATTTATATAGATCTCAGGTTCATACATGAAGGTCACAGTTGCAGCAGGAGATCATTTTGCATGGTCCTTCCCAATGCCTTTTCTGGCTATTGCCCTCAGCCTCAATTCTTGTCCACGGTGTAACTTAACAATTACTATTCCCCTAAACAAACAGCAAATTAAAACTTAATTGGCTTTGCAATAAAACAATGGAAGTTAAATAAATTATTTCCTTCCTCTGATAAAATAATTATAAAAACAGAAAAGAAGAGAAAAAAAAAAACAGAGAGAGAGAGAGATGGATTGAAATTCAGCACTAAATTTCAATTTTCTAAGGCTTAGAGAATTATAAACCAAATACTTCTAGGAAAGAAAGTTCCTGTTTCTTGCTTCTATCTAGTTTTTTAACTTAATAGAACATATCAAAGGTAACAAAGCCAGACATTAATCCATATACTCTGCAGGATGGAGAGATATGAACCACAAGAAACCACTAAATCCCGAGCTCTTTTAACAAATAACAGATACAGTTTAGTTCATATCATATTGGCAAATGCATATATGTAAAAACACACAATTAAATAATGATTATAAAAGAACACAACACACCGCTCCTCAAGAAGAAAACGCATATAATCAATTATGATGAAGAGCACTGTCTCGAACTGTTGAATCATAGAAAAGTTCCACAATAATCTAGCAAAAAATCCAATACCACTTTAATTCACAATGTTAACACAGAATCAAAAAGAGGCAAAATACACTAAAATCTTAAAATGTCGTAGAAACATGCTGCAAGACAGGGGGGGAGGATTACAGTAGTGTATAGAAGAGGCAAAAAAATTTCAAACATACAGAACTTCAAACAATTCATACCACAGTGACAATTATAAGCTTTGAAAAATAATAAAAGCTAAAACTTGATTCAAGTATGAAGATCAGAATCAGTTATTTTGTGCTTTTCTTAATTGAAGTTGCTTGTTACACTGTCACCTAAAAGACCTCTCTAATAATCACTGAAAAAATGACAAGACTTCCACAGGTCAAACAAAATCTTAATCGACCCT